AGACACGCGGGACACTGTCGGCGTGAGGGCTGTAGCGACGCCAACCATGGCCGATGGTGGTCGGGCGCGGGCACGGTGGCAGGCCTTATCTGCTTCGAGTGAGAGAGCAGGTGTTAATCGTTGGACCGGTAGCACGCAGGCTCAGGAAGCGCAACGACCGAACGAACGAACACCCTAAGGAGTGAGGAATTTTATGTCAGTATAGTCGGAATAGGTTAGTCGGGCCGGGCTGTGTGTGCCAAGAGAGCGCCTCACGAACGGCCATCCAATCGTGCTGAGCCGGCATGGGCCCACGAACCAGAGGGTACTTGCGTCGCAGAGAGTTTCTTGTCCTCTTCTCGAGAAGATCCCTATCCTTTTTTGACTTGCCAGTTGCCTGCTGCCCTGATCATCCTACCAACACCCGCAGATCAGTTTTTTTTTTAAAGAAAAGAAAAAAAACACCCGCAGATCCTCTCCCCTCGTGTTTTTCCTTATACAAGATAGATTCATGCCCGTGTGTTATATCGAGGCTGTAAATTTTTACCCACACCTACAGCAACACATGTGGCTTGCGGCTTAGACTAATAATAAGAAATTTACAAATCTAATTACATATACAAAATGTAAAGCATATTTCATAATTTTCACCACATATATATATATTGTGTAGATCTAGTCTATAAAAACATAATAGCATTGCTTTCACTTTTCTTAATACTCGTGTGATTTATTATTATGCATTTTACAAGTTTAAGGTGATTTCAACATTTTTAGAAAATAATGAAAAGCTAATAACTGATTTTGCATTGGGAATCGTAAACTATTTCCATATCTATTTAGGCCTTCTCTGTTTTTTGTCTTTAGTTATTTATCAACTGAAACTATATTCTCTTTCTATTTACTCTTCACATCCTTCTCTTTTTGCTAATGCTTGGTCACAGGCGTCCAACCCTATCTGGACGTCGCCTTCCTGGGCCTGCGCAGCAGATAGGTCCATCCGGCGTGCTCATCCCCACTCGCACTTGCATCTAGCGTCGGGGCGTCACGCGCATCCTTGCCGCATTTCGCCCCATGCGTGCCCCTTCCCCCACCGCGCGGCTATCCCCCGTGCCTGCCGCGCCGCACCCCATCACCGGCCGCACCGCGCTACCATCCTGCGGCTCGCCCCTATCCACCGGCGCGCCCCCACCCACCTTGCCCGTCACTGCCATGGCGAGCACCATGCCACCACCACCCCGGCACCACCAGGAGGAGGTCGACGCTGCTCCAAGCTTTGTCTCCCACGGCCGGTCGAAGACACCGCAGCAGGAAGGGGAGGCCCTGCGCACGCTGGGCCGTTTGCTCTCGACATTCCCCATGGACCCGAGCTTGCTGGCTGCCGCAGTCCCCTACCAAGTAGGCCATGGCCGCAGTTGACACTATGTTTTAGGCGTTTCAGACTTATGTTTCAAAGGTTTTATCTGAATGTTGCAAAAGTCAATATGGGATGTTGCATATGTTGCAATGGCAATATAGGCATGTTGCAAGCCTATGTTTCAAGTGTTTCAGGTGTTTTAGACATTTGTTTCATATGTTTTCATCTGGATGTTTCAAAAATTGATCTGGTGTTGCACATGTTGCAATGGCTATACATGCATGTTTCAAACACATATTTCAAGTGTTTCATCTATTTTCAGATGTATGTTGCAAATGTTTCATCTGAATGTTTCAAAAGTAGATCTTGCGTTGTAGGCCGCTGTCCGACTACTGCTGCTGTTGCGCCGCCGTGGTTCACGTGCCGACGCCTGAGGCCTGTAGACGCCTCCGCGGCGTGCATCCGTAGGTGGGGCAGGTGGGCACGAGTCACGGTTCCGCCATGTGGGTGTGGGTCGCGGTTTCGCCATGCTGACGCGGGATGGGCGCAGGGGCGCGGTTCCGCTGTGTAGGGCTCGGGATGGGCGCGGGCCACAATTCCAGACACTGACGATGGTTGGGAACAGGACGGAGCGTGTGGGATGCGATGCGAGCACGGGGGTGTGGGAGCTGCGTCAGCGCGCGAGCCTGAGAGCGGGACGCCCAGCGCTTAGCTTTGCCCTTCTCTTTTCGGTAGAGCACTTTCGTTTCTTTTTTTAGACTTTCTTATTTCTGATTTGGTTTCTAATTGGGAGCGCGCGTAGTAAAATATCGTTTCAATTTGTTTCAATTTAAGTTGTGGAGGAGGTGCTCGACCGACCCGGAGGAAGCGGGTGAGCGGGACGATCGTTCGTAGTTTTTAGGTGTAGAGATATATAGAGAAGAGGCATAAATAAAAAAAAAAAAAATAAGAAAACTTATATGCTTATCTACACTACTCGGTGGGTGAGCAATACTAATGATGCATTATCTCAACAATGCCTTAAGTACATGATTTAAAATGAAAATTGATAGTAGCAGATGTGATCATGCTTACTGCATGATTTAGGACCCGTTCGTCTCCTACGGAATCACTAGAGGAAGAATTTCTGGCCGGAATCGTTAGTCAATTTATATAAGTTTTCATTAGCCGGATTGATTCCTGGTGACATTTTGCCCAAACTGAACGAGCCGTTCAAATTAAAATCAAACATATTTTTCTGAAAATTAAGCCGTAGGTGGACAGCATTTCATCTCCACGATCGGAGCCATCAGTGGACAGCGACTGGAACGGCCGGTGAAGGCGTCGGGTGGCTGCCATATGCTCGTGTGACTGTGACTTAGATCGGTGGATGTTGACGCGAGATGTGGACGTTCACGTCTGATCTTCGCACACGATGGATACAAAGGGACAGTGATTTTGTGATCTGAATATCAAAACCGGCAGGGAAGTATCGTCCGGCGGTCGAGAGCGTGTGCACAAAGCCAGATGTGGACGAAATCATTTGACGCTTTTTAGATTTTATTAGATTATTAGATAGATTAGATTAGATTAGATTAGATGTAGAGATTGATACTAACAAGTTTCTGCAAGTTAATAACATAAAACTAGCATGGTAATAAGCGCATAATTTTACTGCTGGTGTTGAGAAACAATACCGCGGTTTGTGGATACGGTCACCGGCTTGGGAGCGGCAGCCTGGCGCGTGGCACCCCATTCATCCTTCTTGGGGAAGAAAGACGACTTGAGGAGAGTAGCTGATGCCGGTAATGGTTATGTAGCATGATTAGCAAGTAATAGCCAATGATCTCCTTCTGCGAGGGAGGATAGAGCCGATTGTATAACACTATTTTCTTAGTGTGTCATTCGTGGTGCGTCGTTGTAACTTTGACTATTTCTCGATCTTAATACAAAGATGTGCAAACATTTTGCGTATTCGAGAAAAAAATGAGAGTAGCTGATGCCATTGCTCTGGTTCTGAAGGCGAACGGGGAGATCAGGTGCTAGTGCTACCCTCTCTTTGACACACAGTCTTTCCTCAGAAGGGTTGAGGAGTGTCGCAGCAGCTGAAATAGAAGGTCGTGCACCTGGAGGCACACAAGGTGACAAGGGATATGAGTTGTGAGGTGGAGACTGGCCTTTCTGCATTTCCTCTTGTCACCCTCTCTTTTGTCCTGTCTCTGGCAGATATTTCCCTTTCTCTTCTTCTGTGTACCGTGTAAAACTTGCAAAATAAACATTTTCCTCTTTGCGCGACGGCGACATTAAAACTTGCAAAAGAAACATTTTCCACTTAGAGCGACGACGACGTGAACCGTAAATATTGGATGTTCATTCTTGACCTCAAGATGTATCCTGCCTGATGAGGAATTCTGGGTTTCTGTGGGCGGATTTCACCACCAACCGTTGCCCGTTCGTGTCTGTGTCCTGGTAGATTGCATCCATGAAATTGCCCCGTTGTCAGTTATTCCATGAAATATACAGTACATTATTTTTTTTCCCGTCAATATTTTGGTGGTAACAAACTCCAGCTCTGAGTTGTTTGCTGGATGCTGGGTCCCTTCTGTGACACAAAGGCAGAATTAAACGGTGCTTCTTCTTGGGCCTAGGTGCACAAGGGACAACCACCACTCATTTTGAAACCTACCAACCAAGATGCCAACATGAGGATTCCAACCGTACAGCAGTATAGCATTCTGGAACATCATTTGTGATTTCAATATGTGATGATTTCCAAGGATTTTTTTTCTCATGGCCTTGCAAAAGAGAACTGACATTGTCTAATGCTATACCATAAAAATTAATAAACCAGCTAGGAGATAATAGAGAAAGAAAATACAAATATCATATTTTGAACAATAAAAGCTGTTGCGTTCAGTAAATGGGAGAAAGGAAATTATAACAATTGCAAAAACAAAAAAAAAACTTCTATACCAGCGAGCAAACATCTTTGATACCAGCGAGCAAATTAATACATGGCACCTATTGATCTCCATGACAACGAAAGAAACGAAGTGCCATGAAAGTGATTTCACTATTGACTAACAAGAGCTGAACAGTGACAAAATGTTTACAAAAGCAAATTGGCCACATATGGCACCTATAGATCTCCATGACAGCGAAAGAAACAAAGTGCCAGGAAAGTGATTTCACTATTGAATAATAAAAAACTGAATAGTGACAAAATGTTTACAAGAGCAAATTGGCCACACATGGCACCTATTGATCTCCATGACAGCGAAAGAAATAAAGTGCCATGAAATTGATTTCCCTACTGTCTACTACAGTTGGCCATACGAGGGACGTAATTATGTGCTGCATTTGTGTTGTAGGGTAGTGAAAGCTGAAGAAGCGTCTTTATAAGTTGCAGAGTAGAAACATAACATGATGATCTATAGAATTAATCTCCATCTCCTACCCTATGAATTTAAGATAGGCTTATATGTCAACTTGGGAAAGTTGTGAAATGTCAAATCCCAAGCCAAATAGCCTAGCCCATTAAGTAGATTCCAATTCCTCCAATGAAATGATCCAAATGGCCTCAGGGTAGAAGTAAAATTGCAGTGTATTTTTCCAGCTGAACCTGCAATGGCAGACTGCCTACAGTGCCCTCGAGGAACGTACTAGCAGCAGTGGTATCGTCGTCTTAGTAGCTGTAGTTCTTGACGAACATGCCCTCCTTGGCCGCAGCGGCCTCACCATCGCTGGTGTACTTGCCAAGCTGCGCCAGGGAGTTGGCCTTGGCACGCAGCAGCAGGGCGTCCTGTGCTGCCTTCACGTTCTCGGGCCTGCCGCCCCATGTCTTGAGGCAGGTGTTCTGCAGCGCCCTAGCATAGGAGAAGGACACATGCCACGGGTTGGGGCTCTGGTTCATGGCGTTCAGGTTCTGGGTCGCCTCAACCTCAGACTGCCCACCAGACAGGAACTGCATTAAATTGCACAAAATAATAGCAGTTGAGAACACAGAAGACCATGGCATGTGCAACCGGAGAGAAACCTGTTAGCAAGAAGAGAGAGCTGACCATGATGCCAGGAACGGCAGGAGGGATCCTTCTGTGGAGGAGCTTGAGGGTGTACTCGGCTACTTGCTCAGGGGTGGCCCTCTCCTCGCACTCAGCACCAGGGGTGATCATGCTGGGCTTGAGCAGGATGCCCTCAAACATCACATTGTTCTCAGACATGTAGTAGAAGGTCTCTGCCCACACCTTCTGTGCGACCTCGAAGGTCCTCTTGATGCAGTGCTCACCATCAAGAAGGATTTCGGGCTCCACAATTGGCACCAGACCATTTTCCTAGCATTTCATTTCGACAGATATATAAGGGTGTTTTTATATATAGGAGTACATGCATATTGAAAAGAAACCAATATGATGGTCCTTTTTCTAGGATATATACCTGTGAAATGGCGGCATAGCGGGCAAGGCCCCAGGCAGCTTCCTTCACGGCAAGTTCAGATGGACCGTTGGGGATGCTGACAACAGTGCGCCTGTGACAGAACTTCACGTCACACTCACACATGGGATCTATATATATATGTCACCACGTACATAACGACAGAAAGTAACTGCCAATGCAGCAGGGGCCACGTTTCTCACCACTTGGCGAAGCGGGCACCAGCCTGGTAGTAGGCTGCTTCACGTGAAGCAAGGCCATCAAGACCTTGGCACCACGACTCGTTGTTGGAGCCAGCAAGTGGCACAAGACCCTGAGATTGAGCATAGCTTCAGAGGTTTGCTGTTGCTTTCGATCTTGAAAGAGACTGTCACAACTCCAACAAATCTAGTTTCTAGCTAAGAACCTACACGCATGTCATCTGTTGGTTTGGAGTCTACAACATACCTTGTCAACCTTGATACCAGGCACGATTCCCTGCTCATTAAGGACGTCAACAATCTTCTTGCCATCAACAGTTGACTGGTAGAGGGTCTCCTCGAAGAGGATAGCACCAGAGATGTACTGTCCCAGGCCTGGGGCACTGACAAGGAGGGTCCTGTAAGCCTGGCGGTTGGCCTCAGTGTTCTCAAGGCCAATGGAGTCAAGCCTCTTGCCGCAGGTAGCGTTTGACTCATCCATGGCAAGGATACCCCTTCCTGGTGATGCGATGGTTTTCTGCAGCAAGAAGAATAAACTTGTAATATTCAGAACCATAACTGAAATGAGCATCATAGCTTTCCTTTCTCAATAGAAAAGAACAGTTACTTTTTCCAAGTTGATGAAATGTTCTTTCAGAAGTTTGAGACCATAGCAAGTCATACATATTATGAACCTTTTCAGATGGATCACAGAACTTAAGCAGGACCTTTCAAAGTAATCTAAAATGTAACTGAACTAGCTTGTAGTCATCAAAATTATGAGTGGCTATACTGCTTCTTGGCCTATACTGGTGTTGACATGTGCCAGCCCAATATACATACTCCTAGATGTCTAGTTCACAAATTCATCTCCCTGAACATTGCAAGTTCCTAAACCAATGCAAGGAGAGAATGCTGATTTAGACTAGCGTGTGTGCATAAATGAGTAATAATATGGGATCAAAACTGTCAAATGGGTTACCTTTCCTAATGAATCCTCAAACTTGCATTAGTTAAATCATGATAAACAAAACTGAAGTTTTCATGGTTGAAATAAGTTGTTTCAAACAGGGCCATATGTCATTTTTCTATTGATACTAACAAGCTTCTGCAAGTTAATAACATAAAACTAGCATGGTAATAAGCACGTAATTTTACTGCTGGTGTTCAGAAACAATACCGCGGTTTTGACAAGCTCATCAGCATAGGCGCTAGCACGGACAACCATGTTGACAGTCACCGGCTTGGTAGCGGCAGCCTGGCGCGTGGCACCCCATTCAGCCTTCTTGGGAAGGAAAGACGACTTGAGGAGAGTAGCAGATGCCATTGCTCTGGTTCTGAAGGTGATCGAGGAGATCAGGTGCTACCCTCTCTTTGATGACACACAGTCTTTCCTTAGGGGGGTTGAGACTTGAGAAGTGGTGCAGCAGCTGGCATATAAGGTCGTGCACCTGCTGGGGGCACACAAGGACAAGGGATATGAGCTGTGTGGTGGAGACTGGCCTCCTAGAAATGAATGGCTGTGCTTTGGTTGCTGCAATCAGCCAATCCTCTTGCCACCCTCTCTTTTGTCCTGTCTCTGGCAAATATATATTTTCCCTTCTCTTTTTCTGTGTATACAGGCAAATATATATTTTCCCTTCTCTTTTTCTGTGTATACCATGTAAAACTTGCAAAAGAAACATTTTCCTCTTTGCGCGATGACGACATCGTCCAAAAATATCAGATGTGAAAAATATCGGATGTGCATTCTTGACCTTAAGATGGATCCTGCCTGATGAGGAAATCTGGGTTTCCGTGGGTGGATTTCACCACCAACTGTTGTCCATTCGTGTCTACCAACGGCAGAGATGTCCTGACAGATTGCATCCGTCAAAATTGCCCAGTTGTCAGTTATTCCATGAAATACATTATATTTTTCCAGTCAGTATTTTGGTGGTAACAAACTCCAGCTCTGAGTTGTTTAATGGATGCTGCAGGGTTCCATCCGTGACACACTTCTGGTCCTAGCTCCCAAAGGCAGAATTAATGGTGCTGCTTCTTGGGCCTAGCTGCACAAGGGACAACCACCACTAATTTTGAAACCTCGCAACCAAGATGCCAACATGAGTATATTCCACGTACAGCAGTATAACATTCTGGAAGATCATTTGTGATGATTTTCCAGGGAATTTTCTTTTCTCATGGCCTTACAAAAGAGAACTGACATTGTCTATCGCCATACCGTAAAAATTAATAAACCAGCTAGGAGATAATAGAGAAAGAATATACAAATATGATACTTTGCATAGTAAAAGTAGTTGCGTTCAGTAAATGAGAGAGAAGGAAATTATAACACTTTGCAAAACAGTTTATTTGATACCAGCAAGCAAATTGGCCACATATGGCACCTATTATTGATCTCCATGACGACGAAAGAAACATAGTGCCATGAAAGTGATTTCACTATTGAATAACAATGATCTCCATGACAACGAAAGAAACAAAGTGCCAAAGTGCCATGAAAGTGATTTCGCTATTGAATAACAATGAGCTCCATGACAACGTAAGAAACAAAGTGCCATGAAAGTGATTTCACTATTGAATAACAAAAAACTGAATAGCTACAAAATGTTTACAAGCACATAATTTTGGTCTGACAGGGATTTCAGAATTACATAAAAAAATTGGATGGACCGCTACAACTCCAGACTTCGGAGAAATATCACTTTCAGGGCTGATGTGTATAGAACTTTTTCAATGAAAAGAAATAATAGTATAATACAAAACAAAAAAAAATCAGTTTCACCAAGATGCTATGCATACCATTTTTTAACACACCCAAACATTGGATCTGAACGCCTCGCTTTGTGTAACTTCAACTTGAAGCATCGAAAAGCTCATCAGTCATCACAGCTTCCAATTATGGATGATAAAAATTTGCACAAAGACCTATTTTTCTGCTGTATTCCAATTATCAATATTTGGAACTTATGGGAAATCGAGTCACAAGAAGCACAAATTTCATCCTTGAGATAAATGTAACCATCCCTTTAGATGAACATACAACCAGTGAAATAATCCCTTCACACACTATCTTCAGCATCAACTGAAGGCACCGTAGCTTGAGCAAATTCAACTGCTTCACAGGTTAACCAGGCAGTAAATTCATGCCAAGTACTATGGCATATATAACCAAAGAGGTTGGCATCTGAACGAGTAGCGCAATCTTTGTAGGATGTCTCTGTAAATATCAATCAGAAACTGGCATGCAGGTAACCAGGCAAGTCAAAGATTAACCCATATTTCACATTCCTTACGCTTGCCTGTAAATGTCAATCAGAAACTGGCAAGCAGGTAACAGGGCAAGCCAAAGATTAACCCATATTTCACATTCCTTATGTTTGCCGCTTCCAAAATTTTCTTCACCTCTCTCTTGTCATTATACAAAACCTAAAGCACCTTCTGTTTCCTCTTTACAGGTTTACGAAAGTTTCCAAAACGAGGAAATCCTGATGAATAGGAGCTGAATTCATTCCTCATAGATATGGTTGTGACTACCATAAATTACCTGCATGCTTCAGCAAATTCTCTTGTTCAATTATGTTCCTTTAGAAACCTCATTGATTCGCTTCCCACAAGCTTCTTCAGCCGCCTCACAAGTATTAGATAAAAATGCCAGAAGCTTTTGCCTGAGCAACGGTGATAACTTGTCACAACCTGTCAATGGCTCCAATGACGGAACCACTCCCTTCTTCACTAGCACCCCAAACGCACTCCTCACACCGTGTGCAATCGCCTCCTTCCTCTGCACATCATAGTTGTCAATCAGAAGAAACAAGAACTCAAGCAACATGTTCGTGATATCCGTGTACTGAGACACCGAGTTCACCATCAGGAGCATAGCAGGTTCAATATTCATAACACTACCCCTCCCCTCCTCGAAGAACAACCAGTCATAGAACAGCGCCAGCTTCGCATTCGCCACAACATAACCCTTGCTGCAACTCGTCAGCAGCCAACCTACGACCGCCCAGCGAGCAATGACACCAGATTGCATGACCTCATTGGTCGGGTGGTACCCGCAGCATATGAACCGCACAATGTCAGGGATCCTCTCCTCCCCTCCAGGAACCATCAGGTGCTTCCTTGCAAACCACAGCTGGTACCTCTTCTGATCCCCCCACTTCACATTGTTCATCATGAACAAGAGTTGCATCTCCATCTCTGACGTGATGGCCACAGCTGGGCACCATCGGGGTGTGCCGATCTGACAGACGTTGGCAGCAGGGTCAAGTATCAAATCTCGCCACAGCACCTGGAACTCCGGCACGAGCGCCAGCTCGTGGAGCGACCTCACAAGGTCCCTTCCGAGCAGTGCGCACACTTGGAAGTGATCCTGCAGCATGGAGACGCAGAAAGACACCAGCATTCCCCTGCATTCTTGCAGATTTTTGGCACCCTTGCACTCCTCGCAGTCCTTGCACTCGACGCTGCCTGCGGCCGGAGCGAGGCGGTTCCGGGAGAGGAGTCGGAGGAAGGCGAACACGGCGGTGGCGAGGAGCTGGGGCTCTTCGTCGGCGAGAAACGAGGCGTGCTCGTGCAAGACCTCGAGCAGGCGGGCGTCCCCGGGGAACGGCACGCGGCGGAGGAGGGAGGCGAGGAGGGGCGCGAACCCCGGCGCCGCTGCGCGGGCGAGCTCCGAGGCTGCGAGGAGGAGGCGGGCGCGCGGGTGGGGGAGGAGGAGGGGGAAGGGGAGGGAGAGGAGAGCCGACGCGAAGGCGTGGTAGAAGGCGGGGAAGCGGGCGCCGGCGGCGTGGAGGACGACAAGGAGACGGCGCGGGAGCGGGGAAGGCTGGGTGAGGAAGGCGAAGGCGAGGGCGAGGGGTAGGTGCGGCGAGGAGAGATCGGCGGGGGACGGAGACGGGGAGGGGAGGACGAGGTGCGCCGAGAGGAAGGGGTGTTCCGGGGAGGAGGCGGAGGTCGGGGGCGGGTGGTGGTCGCCGCCGGCGAGGAGACGCGGGGGAGGGGGAGACGGCGGAAACGGCGGCGGCATTGGGGAGGAAGAAGATTGCCCGGCAGGCGGCAGGAGGATCAGATAGGCCTCGTGCATATCGATGGACCAAATTTCTTCGTGGGCCGGCCCAAACGGCACGCCAAGACAACTGGCTGTTAATTCCTGAACGGGCTTTTACCACAGGTGACAGAGATAAGAATTGTGGATGACAATGAATCAAAAAAAAAGGATGTGGATGACAAGTGATCCTAAAAAAAGATGAAGATGACAAATGAGTTGTCAAACATTCAAGCTGCATGTACAACTCACCAAATTATACCAAAGAGTAAATTTTATATTAAGATAATAAGACAATGTACTATTAAGACTACGACATCCATAATTTAAGACCTTGATTGAAATCATGTACAACTCAATCAAGGTCTTAAAAATATGGACTACGACATCCATAAAAGTTTTTAAGACCTTGATTGACTACGACATCCATAATTTAAGTCAATCATGATCACAGAAATATCACTCGCAGATATATCATAATTTTAATTTTCATACTATTGGTATAAATAAATATTAAGTTCCATGACTTACTTTGAAAACCCATGAAAATCTATAATTCTAATATCTATTCAAGCGGTAAGGAGTTAACTGCTGACATGTTAGGGACTGGTGTGTTTGTTGATGATTATGATGAAGACCTCTTTCGATTTTTCACATGGCATCTCTCGTCGAGGATAGCACTATTATATGTGAACAGCTTGGAGTATATTTATTTACATTATATATTGTATAACAAAGTACTCAATATTTCAGTTCACGGTTTGATTACTTGGATCATCAGCTGATCCCGTTTCTAACAAAAATTAAGTTGTGTTCCTAATCAAAACTACATCAATAATTTAGTGGTATGAATATTTATTTATGATAAAAATGTCAAAGGTTCGAGTACCTATGATATTACCTTTATTATTGGTTTTTATGTCTATATAAGAAAAATGAGAAATACTAAAAATACTGAAAGAGGTAGGTGGAAGGGTGCCCATGAAAAATGGGCGCAAGAAAAACAAAAAAAAACGGATGGACCGAAAAGAAAAAAATGGAGCCAACATGCGAAAACAAAAAATGGATTCAAGAAAAACAAAAAATCCCACATGCAGAACACGACCACAGAAAAGGACTCCAACGGAGGAGGCATGAAGAGGAATGAATGTACGGATGTCGAAATGAATTGCGACATCAGATATTAGTCACGCTCGGTCCAACATACTTTAATTTATATGTGAACAGCTTGGAGTATATTATATATTGTATAACAAAGTACTTTCAGTTCGCGA